ACTTGTAATATCAAAGAAGTCCCTGGAAGTTGTCTCCACTTTTGATACGTTCTATTATTTCCTTTACTATCAGCTCAACTTAACGAATATACAGTTTTAGGTACCACAGTTTCTAACTCTGTCTCTTCTAGTAGCCTGTATTTTGACTCTGGACTATGAGGAATTTCTTACTACAGTCTCCAGGAATTGTCCTAAAAAATGATCTTGTGTAGAGCTATATACCAAGAAAAGAAAGAAAACTGTGTGATCCTATGTATCAATGCTTTCTCACTCATTCACTACTGCAAAACTCCCTAAGTACTTCCTGCACATCTACCGTATCCCAGGAACTGTGGCAGGCATTGTGGATGCAATAACGAGAAAAACTGACACACAGCCCCTACCTTCAGGGACCTGTGGATCCAGGGGAGGACACCACTATTCTTCAAATAAGCACACGTGGGAAATGGACAATTATAACAATGCAAAGTGCTTCCAGGAAATACGCAGAGTGCCAGGAGAGATCGTGATCTACTCTCAGCAATTTTGAAACTTTCCCCAATAGCAGAAAGATGAACAAGGGTGGACTTAGACAGCGTTTCAGGTCCAAGGAATTGCATGAGCCAAGGCCAGAGCACCTCCCAGCCCTCACCCTCAGCCAGAAGAACATGGAAGCTTCCTGATCTCCACTGAGAGCCCCCCTGGGACTTCAGGGGCCTCTGCTCCTCCATCCTTTCTAGAGTCCTCACCCTTCTCCTTCCTCTCCAAGGGACAGGTTTCCCTTGCAGGCAATGCCTCCGCATTTTCTGTGGCAAGGACCTCGACTCTCAAAGTTCTCATCGCAGGGCTCTTGCCCTGTAGCCCATCCCACATCACCCAGGTACATCCCTCTCTTTAACTCCGAGTGGGAGATGGAGGAAGAGCCAGGGAGTGGTGTGCCACGCAGGTAGGAAACCTTATGACTACGCAGGTAAATGAAGCATGGGGCCTGTAAAGCTCCTACCTCCGAAGGAATTGGGTGGTATAAGGATCGCAAAGTGGCCAGCTAGGAGTACCCTACGTCTTGAGTGGAGCGCTGGTCATATGTGTGTGATACATCTGTGGACGGTTTTGTGATGTGTGTGCTGACACCACCAGGCGCTCTAGGATTGCCGATAAAATCTCCTTAATGTTGGTACAGTGCAGCCCCGAAATAGAACCAAAGATGAATGAACGATTCAAGAGACCATCAGGATACACAGTCGCAGCAGCCAAGGTTCGAGGTAGGAATACATTTAATGAAACCCGTGTAAAGGAGGCACTCTGCGAGGAAGGAAACACGTGGTTTCACTTGGGCATCAGACACCCTGCGGAGCGCCTCACACATTCCATGGCTCGTGGCTCCTCTGTCACAGGAGAAGCCTTGCTGGAGGTTTAAGCTTCTCAAGCTTCGTCGGGAAGAAACCCGGTCTCCAGCAGCCCCCCTCCCCCCCAAAAAGGACAAGTGTGTTTTATTTTTCTGCTAAAACAGGGAAACACCGACGGACCACAAAGCACAAATCCCGTCCCTCCAGCGATCTGAGGCCACCAGAGGCACAGAAGGGTTTCGCTCTGACGGCTCACCCTCGCGGGGTGTCTTCCGGACACCTGGCCGGTGTCCCTGAGCTGGGGCCCAACAGAAACCCGTTCCGCGCACCGGCGGGTCTGGGCCAGGCTGGTGGCGAGCTGGTGGCGGCGGTGCGCACCGGGCGAACAGGGACGCCTGCCCTGGCGTGGGACACGCCCATCCGACCGGCTCTCGGCAGAGCCGGCCGGAGGGGAGGCGAGCGCGCCGGCCGCCCCTAACTAGGGCTCGGGCTGCGCGGCCAGCAGGGCGTGGAGCCGGGCGGCCGCCCAGTGCAGGGTCGCACCCGCGTGCGCCAGCTGCCAGGCGAGCCAGGCGCGCTGCGAGGCCGAGGGTTGCGTGCGGTGGGAGGGCCCAGGCAGGAAGGCTCCCCCCGGAGCCCGCAGCTCGTCCAGCGCCACCTCCAGCGCGCCCACCCGGTGCCAGAGCCTGGTGGTCACCGCCGCCAGGGGATCGCGCGCCTCCAGCTCCAGGTGACCGCGGCGGCGCTTCGGGGAGGCGGGATGGGCCTCGCGGCTGTCCGGGCGGCGTCTGCGGCCGGTGGTCCTCACCGGCGACCTGGCCCGGGTCCTCCTGCCCTTGTGGCGCCACGGAGAGTGGGCAGCAGCACCTGCGCAGGAGAGAGAGGGAAAGGGCTTTTGGTGAGTGCCCAAGGACCGGGGTGGTGGGTGGGATCACTTACCCTTCCGGGGCTGGACTGCCCCACTCCCGTGACCGCCCCACCCACTACGACCCAGCATGCCCCACTCTGGTAGCCCCTTCCAGATCAGAGGGGAACCGGTGCCCAGTCTTGCAAGCCTTCCTCTCAGCCCCATTGTGTTCTGGGAGCATCTCGCCAGTGGTGGCAGTGTCTGTCTCCTCCCCC